CTTTACAAGTTCATATCACGGAAGCGGCCGGAATTGATGGGCGTATATATTTCACTTGGGGCTCAATCCGATTGTTATTATATAAGAGTTATTGAGAAAAAGTATTGTGAAGGGTACAGTAGGCAGCTGGAACGAGCTCGAAATAGATTTTTTCAATATTGCATAAGAAACCGGTTCGACGCGGCGAAAGAGGGAATCTAATAAGACCGAATCGGTCTCCGGACTCCGGTGAAAAATGAAATAAACGAAAATCGATGTCTAACACTCCGGCGAGTTCCTTTCATATCTTCTCTATATACTCGACTCGTATTTCGTTATTTAATTTTCCAATTTCCGGTTTACTGTTTGCTCTTTTAAACGTAAATAAAATTTTTCATCGAAACTCTCCACACAAAATATCTCAACTTTACTAGTTTTGTTTTTATTTACAACTAACTGGTAACTTTTAGAATAAATATTATAGAATTTTCAGGAGAATGATTTTTTGCATAAATAGAGAAGAGTTCAATCAAAATTCCAATACAACTTTTATGTACTATATATTTTGTCCGCTTTCTACTTAAATAACCTCGTAAAGTTTCCAGCGGTCCGGACACATTTCGACGGAGCGAATAACCTAAGATTTTTTTCCCGTTATTCCCATGAATCACATTCCGATTTTTGGTCCCCGAAAATTGATTTCAGTCGCTAAGTTTGAAAATGCATTGTAGATTGCAAGTTGGATTTAATAAAGAGTCACGTGTATTTGATAGAGGGTATTTCCAACTTTTCGGACCGTATTTATTACGCCGTTTCCGGCCGGTTCGCTTTACTTCCAGTTTATTTACAGAAAAAACAGCGGCGGGGATTTGCCTTAGCAAAAGAACGAGCCGGCAATAATTACCAATTAATTCCGGTAATGCGATTTAACACTTTGCCTAATTGCCGCCCCTATTTATTACTGAAATTATTTAAGGTTTAGTCGGATTTTTGATCACAAAATAACAGAATTTTGCAGAATGTTCGGTAAAGTCTTTATACAGTCATTAAGAAGTTTTCGAAAACTTTTAGAGTATTTATACAGCACTTTAGAGAGCACTGTTGATGCTTTCAAGTACCAAGTTCTGAATTCTTCATGCATTAAGCTATTTCTAAAATAATGGTCTTTTGTGTGTAATCTTTTAAGTAAAATATGGCGGTTAAAAAAGCTAGTTCGCCAAATTTAACAAAATCGCACTTTCCACGGTCATGGTTTGTAAAAAATGGCCAAAGCGCACTGCGAATGTCGGTATTTATAACATGTTTTTGATATCTTCCAGGGCGCGTCACGCCCTGCCAGTAACTCACGGTTTCAGCGAAAACTTATATTTTCATTTATCGCGTTCACGTCCGGTTTAATAGTTTTTTCGGCGAAAATTTCTATTTTCCACGAACAGGAAGAAAAAGAGGTGTCACGGCGCGGTCGCGACAAATGAAATTATTGTCTCTAATGCGTTCCGTTTGTTTCTGGAATGGACAGTTTGCTTTTTCCTCGACCGAACAAAATGTGCCACGGATTCACCGAATGGTTGTTACACGGCCACTGGAAAAACTAGGATGGACAGTTTACTCAACAAAGTCAATATTGTACACAAAGAGGGTTGGTAATTTAATAGAATGGAAAGAGTTTTGAAAACTTCCCGTCAAATTTAATCCCACGGATAAATGAATTTATAGAAATCCACTTCGCTTCAGCGATATTGCACAAGGTAAATAAAACCAATATTCAACGATTTGCGGTTTATAAATCAGGTTAAATAAAAATTTCAAACGAAATGTTTTGAACAATAAATAGGTAATATAAATGCAATATGAAGGATTCAACTTACGCACGGATTTTGATGCGAAAGGAAATGAATTTAAACATGAATTTGACGCTAAGAGTTTAAGACGTACCTGAAGAATAAATCTACAGTTGAATTTTGTACGTGTAATGCGGAAAACTTATAAATAAAACATTACGGCGTTCGGTCAAAAAAGCTGTTATCGCGCGCCATTTTTAATTCAGCCGGGATTTCGGGCGATTCATTTTAAAGCATAGGAGAAGCTCCTTTTTGGTCTCCCGGGATTGCGGAATATATATGAATTCACTAAAAAAACGGTACTTGAACTCTTTTAGAGAATTCGTGTATCTACTTTTATCAAGTTAAGTCACTCCGTTTTGGAAGAGAGCTTATAGTGCTAATTTATTTCGGAATTACTTTAACTATTATATCATTTTACTTCCATTATTTGTAGGATTATTGAATTATTTCAACCCATTAATTTTATATTGTTTTTCTGCTGTTTGAAATTATGCGGGGGTATACTTATATAAACTAAATTACCGTGCATATTCCGGGGAAAAAAGGAAAGTAACAATTTATAAAAGATAACCAAAGAGGGTCGGATTTTCGTGTTTTCCTTAAAGCACCGTTCCCATTCATTTCGATTACATTTAAAATTGAATTCTTCCGGATGCCCTGCAGAAGGCAAGAATTCCAATATCCCTTTTTGCTCGCATATGAAAATTACTTCCGCTCCTTTGATCATTCTATAGGTACATTAAAGAAAATAACTATTTAGCCCTTTTTTCATATATCATCATTTGGATATAAGTCGACACCGTTCGAGCTAATGGAATCGTGAATTCCCGAAATACCGAAAGGTAGATGTAGATATATTTTCCCTATTACGTTTCTTGCACGATTCTTCTCCATTCTCAAATATACGAAAGGATAATTTAATGTTCGTACCTGCTTATTACCTACATAGTTTATTGATTACATAGATTACCTAACGCTATGTGCTACTTAATCATTTCCAATACAATTATTGAGCGCGCATTTGGAACTCCATCGATGGATAATCTACGTACAAAGTTGACGCTTATTTTGAGAAGGGTTAATAAGATATATTATCCCCGTATAACCCTTTTGTTTGCATTTGAATATTTCTCGCGTATAGTACGTGCCTTCGACGCCACCTTGCGATATTTGGGAACTGTAGACCGATAAATTTAGCGCATATTGCGCAGGCAAATTCGAAGGTAGTATCGTTCTAACTTATGTAAGCCATAAATAATCCTGTATAGGTAATAGGAAAAGGGCAAGGACTGCTGCGAATGTATACATTATTTTTAACATTAAATATAGAAATATTGAATTCGTGTGATTTTAATTGATTACATATTTGACTCGGATGCATTCGATCGATAAAAAGGACTTTAAATAACAATTTAAGGAGGTACATTTTTCTTTAAAGTCAATTTGAACCTGACAATTTTCCACTAAAGGTGCGATAACATTCAAGTGCTCTTCTGCTACTTCGTTCGCAAAGTTGAACATATCGATAGTTGAACGGTTTTAAATTTCAAGGGCCATCATAAAGAAAAGTGGATTATAATGGAAAAATAATAAAGTCGAAATTGCATCCAATTTAATTCAGGAAATTGGATTTTGTACTCGCAGAACGAATTTATTATTAAATGAGGGAAATTATTTTTTGCTACAAGCGTAACAGAAAGTTATCTCTTTTGATACACATACACATATGAAAGTTAAATTACTACTGTTGGGAATATTTTCCGCATTAAATGTACGAAAACAACATTATTGTGGAAATAAATGTTTCACTTTTGACAGTCATTATTTCATACCACCCGTTCGAAATAAAGTGCTTAAAGATAATAGCAAATTTTCAATAACAAAATGGGTCCATTTTTCGCGTTCTTTACACCAGCAGGAATCCCATCTAGAGTTCGCTAGATATACCGACATAAGTGCACGAGAAACTGCACGCGGAGAAATCGAATAGGGATTACCGAATCCTTTCGGAGCGTCGGATTTAGCTGAAACTGCAACCAGAAAGGATACCGAAAAACTGTTAGGACGCCTTCGAATATCCGGTCCCCGGTCCTCTCCGACAGACACGTCTTATGAAGTCACGTTTCGTCTACGTTGTATATCTCTTTGCAAACATTCTGGAAAATGCACACTCGGGTTCCTATATATTATATGCAAGTACTTCGTGGAAGTGAAATCGGTGCATTATTCGGAATTGGTTCGATTGCACTGAGACTTTATTGGCACAATTTTACATCCACTTTTACCACCTCTTTGAATTGCGCTTAAATGAACCGATTATTAATTATACATCCTAGCCAGTCGGGCGGGCAAAATTTTTTCAGCGTACAAGGCGCAGTGTGCGGTTGAAGTGAGTTGTCGAAAGCGCCTACGATTACATCTGGTGATTTATTTTGCCTAGATAAGATGTCTCCGGAGTTTTGCTAAGTTCGCAGCAATCTGCGAACTCAGATTTATCTCGGAATAACCCGAGCGCTGCGCCGAGTACGTACCATTTATTACAATTACGATTAGCTTAGATTTGACGTTTCGTCGGTAATTCATCATTCGGTTTTTTCCTTTTTCGAAACAGCGAAATTATATCCCGGCCTGAGTTTGACATGGGGGGTAGTTTATTCGGCTGAGCGACAGTTACAAATGTAGTTATACTTACAGAGAGGGTGGCTTTGCAGTAATATTAAACATCCCAATTTCCCGACGTTTTATAAACTTCACCACAAAGTGGTTAATCGAAAATTAAAATCGTCGACGCGCGACGCATTATTTTGTTTCGTTTGAACCCTATATAACACGTTGTTGACTAAAATCCCCGGCCGTATTGAAACTTATTAACGCAACATCAATATTTCAATAAATAATTCATTTCGACACGAATTTAACTCGCATTGAACCGTGGATAAAGCGCACTTTGTAAGCCGTTGTTTAAGCAAATCAGTTTATAAATTCGCGCACACGTTAATTAAATTTTCATCGATCACTCGACGAATATATGTATAAAATTGTTAAAATCGCACATTCGAAATCGAAAATACGCCGGGGCGCACGAATCTCCTCTGGGATATTTTCCGTATAATCTTCCATCATCCACTCTCCATTCTCGTTCCGAAATTCTAATTAATGTTAATGTTTTTCTTGCAGCTTAGCGAGGAGCCGGGCTACGTCGTCTATTCGGCGCTGGGATCGTTCTACATCCCCTCCTGCATCATGGTGTTCGTGTACATACGGATATACTATGCGGCTAAAGCGAGGGCCCGTCGAGGGATCCGTAAGCCGCCGCGACGCCAGCCCCAGGACGCCGTCACCAGCTTTTCCAATAGCCCCGGGGTGAGTACACGACAATGATTTTATCCTTTCGGTGGCTTCCGGTGATACCTGAGTTTAAGTGTCGAAGGATAGCGAATATCATGTTCTTCCATGTGCCACTGGAAAGCCTCTCTAAGTACCTCAATATTCTACTCACTTATTTGACAAAAAATACTTCTTTATCTACTAATTTTGCATGTTATTAAGAAAGAGGATAAATAATATTACATTAGTTCCCTGTCAAACTAACTAAGCAAGTGAGAGAGATTCTTTGTGTACCTAGTGGAGCACTTTGGAGCTACAATGGCAATATCCTAGATAAATTTCCTTGCAGTTCGTTTAGGTAGAAATGCTATCCAAGCGGAAAATAATCGCTTGAACTTCGTCTTCAAGGTGTCTGATGGAAGGTGTCAGGTCTCTCAGTTAATACGAATGCTCTATCGCAAATCACTAGTTAAAAATTTTCGCTGCATTATCATTATTATTATCAGAGAATATTTTATTAAAGATACATTACAACAAAAAGTATAAAAATTGTTTTTGATGAGAAAATTGGTGATCATAAACATAAAAAAAATCTGAAACGGTTACTTTCGCTTCCTAATTGAATTTTTATCAACAATAAAGATTTATTCTTTTATTCATTTTTCTTGTATAAATTATAATATTTTTTTTCTCAACGATTCAACGATTTAATAATCGTTCTCTCTTCATGACATCGATTCAAAATTACTGGAGCCTAAACTTATGTGTTATTTTCGACAAATTGAATTTTAATTGTCGTCCCAATTGAGAACTCGATCGACGAGAAAAAAGCGAAGTTTCTGAATCCATTAATTTCTTTTCCACGCTATTACAATAGCTAGGCATTGTGAAATGAAGAAAATTCCAGTTAACTTTCAATGCCTAACCGAATTTAAATTTCGTCATTTCTGTAACAATGACCTTATACTGTGATTTTTGAACCCAAATTTATTTAAAATTTTATTATAACCCCGTGATAATTATATAGGGTGGTCAAAGAGTCAAAGCAGCGTTCTAGATATAGACCATACTGTATATATTTTTTCTAGTCTGCTAGAATTTTGTTAATATTAGTATTGAATGAGATGTAAAATTGTTGCAGGGTGCGAAAAACGGCGTCGCCGAACCCAGCGAAACTCCAGCAGGAGGTTCCATTGTAGATAGAAATAGTAATAATTCCGCAAGAGACGCCGAAGGCCAAATAGCCACAATCGAGTCCCATCCTCCACCCATGGCCATTCCAACAGTAACCTGCGACCTGGCATCCGACATTTCCACCAGCGATAACGCCGACTTGGCCGCTCAGGAACTCCAAGAGCAGAAGGATACTCTAAAGGTAAGCATTATACTTTTTATCAAATCAATAGGGGTACGTGTGTAATTCGAAAATTCATTTTTTCCTACAATCTGCGGGTTTCCAGCATCGCGAAACGATGTTTTATCGAACGAAAATTGGCACCGACTCGATACCGAAGGCCCGTCATTCGCGCCATCAATCATTGTCCTCTTCAATCAAATAAACAAGCGAAAAATTAGCGACGACCCGCCGAAAGTCGCTCGAAAGCGAAAATAAATTGACCTCAGACCGCCCCCCAGGATCACCAGAGAAGGGGCCGGTATCCAAATGCGTGTATACATCATGAATAATTCCGGGCGCCCGAATCAATCATGATCCGTCATCCGAGCATCGCGAATTAGGAGTTCCTTACACTGCTTTCGATATGTCGCTGCTCGAATTTTCATCCGATACAAGTTTAAACTTTATGCAAATTAAAAAGTATACTAATAAATAGCAGTACTTTTTACGTTAATTAAATTCGAATTTGCCTGTTTTTCTCCAAACGTATATAGGTACATCACCTGCTCTATATAAATCTAAGGTCTTGAAATTTCCATTACGATGGAAATAATTCCTCGCCAAAGACAGTCGCTTTTGGATATCGACGGGATCACTCTCGAAAAGAACAGTGGCTGGGATTCGAGAGATCAGAAAACGCATTACGGATTTTATAGATGCGTTTAAAATAAAATCAGAAAGTGCAGATCAATTCAAGCGCTTCTCGATCTGCAGCACATCTGCGTCTTCCGCTCGAAATCGTACGGTCTCAAAGTATAGGAAATTTCAAAAAACGCCAAATCCAAATCCGATTAGAGGAAACATTTTTTAAAAATCAATAACCAATATAGCAATTACGACACATATGTATAATCTGCACTAATCACAGTTATTGATCGGGGAAATATCATTACAACGTGGCCAGATGTCTCTACAAGCGATAAATCGAGGAAATAAGAGACGAAACTAGTAATTACCAGTAGTTAGTGTATAGCAAAACGAACAATATCAGAGGATATCGGGTCGCCCGTTTGAGTGGACCATTTGTCTGAATCGATCACAAAGTCCGCGACAGATGTCGGAAAATAAACGATAAACGTATCTTTTTATTTCAGTGTCGGATCGGGCGTACATAATGCTGATAAATTTTTTACGCTTTGACGAATGGCCTTGTAATGCCGGTAAGACCTTCTTTGGCGATGGCTCGATAAGGATTCGAATGGAAGTTTCGATAAATCGTTCGTCGTAGTTTGATCCGAGGGGTCAAATTGTCGCTGTAAAAATCGGGGTTTTCGTCTAAACATTGATCCTGAGACACGTACCTTTTTGGAAATAAAAAACTCGTTTAAAAGGCGCGGAACAATGCCGAAGGAGCGAGGAACTTGGAGGAAAATGTAATTATTGGCGGCGTAACGGGATAATCCGTCCGCCAAATTTTTAAATTTGCTATATATTTTGATATTTTTGTTTGTAGTTTTGGAATCATCCATCACAATTTAAAAATTCCGCCGAGTAATTTATCCAAATTGAATTTTCTTCGGGATAAAATATTCACATATTTTAAAGCGTAAACGCGGTTCCCGGGCTAATCCCATATTTTGTCCATAAATTTCACACCGCCCGTTCCGTAACGAAAAAATAAACACCCGCGAATAATACAATTTTCTTTTTTCCCCATCACTCTCCCTCGGTCGCCTTCAAAAAGTGAACTCCCAACTCGAATAGAAAAAGTTTTATGAGATTGTTATAAGCTCCTTCGTTCGTGTATTTAATTTTTCATCGTATTTTCGACGGCGTGTTGTGACGCTCTCTTGCATTATTACCATCGTTCTTTAACGCTGTAAATATCGAGCGGCACTCATGCGATGGCTTTATAAAGGACCACTTTTCGTATTAGCCATTACGGTTTTCAAGGATCGCCGTGGAAGGGCCTTCCGAGTTCGAAAAATTTGTAGACGTAACGTTTTGTCATCTAAGCGAAGAGAGCCTCTCCGGCCCTTCGCCGAAAAGAACGTTCTCGTGTAAGTCGAATGTATGAATAGAGCTATTATGTAAATGGCACTTCAGCTCCGAAATCCCGTATGTATTTATATAGAACGATTTTTTTCCGTTGCTCCAGGTGTTCGCGCCGAACGTGGGCCAAGTGGTGCGCAACCCCCTAGCGCAGTGTCAATTCAGCGGCTCCTCGCTGTCCGTGAACGGCGAGCTGCAGCAGCAAATGGCGGCGGCGGCGCGCAGCCGGCAGCCCTCCATGGGCATCGACACCGACATGGTCAGCGAGTTCGATCCGAGCAGCTCCGACTCGGGCGTCGTCGCCCAATGCACCGTCATCAAGCCGCTGAAGGTGAAGATCTGCAACCCGCTGTTCGGGCGCAACAAAAAGTCGCACGGCCGCAGCAAAAGCGACGGCGGCGCGGGCGGCGACAAGCCGCCGCCGAAGTCGCCGACCAGTGAGAAAGTGTCGGTCGAGTTCGTGGTGCCGCGAGTGAACAAACCGAAGGACCCCGAGCGGGAGAAGCGGCGCATCGCGCGCCAGAAAGAGAAGAGGGCCACTCTTATCTTGGGACTTATCATGGGGTCGTTCATAGCGTGTTGGCTGCCTTTCTTCTTCATGTACATACTGAGGTTAGCCTTGAACATTCCTATGATTGCTTTCGCTACGGCCTTTTGGTTAGGTACGTATCTACATCTACTTTCTTTTAGTTATACTCTCCTCACAAGAATTACATCAAATCCTACTTCTTTCTACACTCGATTCCTCAACAAACTGAGAACCATCAATTTCTACCAAAGATTCGTTATCTACTTTGTTCCAGGTTACATGAACTCAGTCCTGAATCCTGTTATTTACACCATCTTCAACAAGGATTTCCGCAGGGCGTTTAGAAGGATATTGTTTAAGTGATGTTTGACCTACGTGTGCTGCTATGATTGCGTCAGCCGGAGGATCCGGACGGCGCAATTTCGCAGCGCACCTAGCGCCCTTTATCGACACTAAATAAATTCTCGACAATCCTTCGCCCTATATCATCATCTCCTACTGACATTGTATACATGTTTCGTTTCAGATATTTTTGTACTCGCCTGAAAGTGCGCCATGGAAAAGTGCTTAAAAGCTGCTAAAGGTTTATTTTGATATTTAAAATTGTTTTGATAATTCCTTGTCAAATGTTCAATTGATAATACCGTTAAAGGGATTTTTTATTGTGTCCAAAAATGAAATCGGCATACGAAATTCGTACGTAAAAATTATATTCGTAAACTAAATTGAATGCTGCTAATTTTTAGTAGGTTAGAGTGATTGTTTTTGAAATTGGAAACAGTTATGTTTATTGTAAATGTACAACGAAATTTGATATTCAGTGTAGGTTGCGTTAATTCAATTCGGACTGGTTTTGATTATAAAATATTAAAATTTAATCTCCGGTTAAAAGTAAAAACGTACGTTCACTGCATAATTAGTGTTGTTGAGCACCATTCAAATTCTTCTATTTCTTCTATATCCTTTCTTTATTCTTCTATTAGATACCTCTACACGTGCTCAAAACACAAACTAAAATAATAGAGTTATCAGAAATTTATAAAATCAATTCGAGCTCGTTATTCGCACTTGTAATATTTTTGTGGGAGTTTACGTATTTAAATAATTTTCTTATTAAATGTGTAGCGAGTAGGAAAACTGACATTTAATTATTTCGTATAAAAAAATTAATTGTTAGGTAGGTACCGTAATATAAGTGCATATGTATATACTAACAATTGAATAAAGCTGAGTCCCACGGTGCCAGTCCGACTTGTAGATTGTTGTTAAAATTTACGAAAAGTTATCAACGAGAAAATCGATTGAATTCCTTTATTATTCGTGCTATTGAGTTTGAAAGGTGCAGGTGACAGATAAAAGCGATTTAATTAATAGAAATTGTACATAAAGAAAATGAGAATATTTTCTAATTAAGAAACCTTTTTAATAAATTAGTTTGTCGATGAAATACACTTCATAAATTTTAATCAAGACTTTCTACAAAGGAAATAAACATTATATTTTAAGGTTAATAAATCATGTACATTTATCCTTTGTAAAATATTTTAATATGACTATAAATGTTTGTTGTTAGGTCATAAGATTTTTCGGTCTTAATTGCCATATTTCCATTATTTCTTCAATAAAACTAAGTAGATCTATATTTTTCAAAAGGACAAGTTTACGGAATTCCTAAAAAGCAAATTTATTGTTCCATTTCTAAACATAATTCTTATCAATGTACTCGAGTGTTCTCCAGATAAACCTCCACATTAATATTATTGATAACAAAGACGGCAGTGCTTTTGTTGAAACGTTGAAATTTATTGTATCTATATGTAATTAAATTTCTGATAACTAAATATATTTATGTTTTAACAGGATTAAAATTAATTTACATTTAGAGTAAAAGTCATGAACTTATTGTCAATTGCAAATACATTTTTCATATAGCAATCTCTCTTTAATCTTCTCCAGGGAGAAAAATATACTAATACTAATATATTAAGTCTGTCTTTAGGTAATCCCTACAATAAAAAGGAATTAATATTTTATTTATATAGCGACCAAGCACTTTCCACGACACATATGCAGCAGAGCGAATGTTCGCAATAAAGTACAAAAAATAAATAAATACTGTTTTAAAGGTATGACCAAATGTTGCGAATAGTTGTCTCATGATCCGTTTTGTTTCTGTTTGTATGTAAAAATTTCTTAAAAATTTGTACTTCTTTATACAAAACATTAATATATTATGTACATATATCTTATGTTAGCTCAAAAATTGGTTGAAACTCATATATCAAAGTTAAAATATTAAGTAGAAAAAAATATACATAAATTATGTATGAATATAAAACATTCTACCGGAATTTATTCGGGGCTAATGCGGTGACTAAATGTTGATAATATGATAAATTATCATTTATAATAGATTTTCGTTTTACTCTGGATTATGAAAATTAACAAATTGTGTATACGAAAAGGTCCATCATTATTTAGAAATTATTGAGTAAAAGTCTTTTATGTGTTTAACTACCATTTTTTTTAAATAATTTCTATTTTCAATACAACATTTAGGCACTTCATGCAGCCATAGTTTTAATACAATTTTGGAGCAATGACTACCACTGTGATAACATAACGCTTTTATTCTCGTATTGATTCTAAGTAATTTTATCCTAAATATAAATATATTCTTAAGGTGTTTTCAAATTAAATTGGATGTCTAGAAATTTGTTTTGATTTGTATATAATAATATTTATTGTTTACTTGTTACTTACCCTGTCCCAGTCAAAGGGAATAAATTCAGTATAAAATAATTTTAAATAAATACATATGTTCCCTTCGGCCGGGAGAAAATATGTTTAAATTTTTTGAAAAGGAAGTGGCTAAATGCAACAAAACTCTATTGTACAGAGATAATTTTCTAATCAAATGGCTTCTGGATGGGTATTTGATAATCGCGTCGTTACAAAGCAAGGATAAAATGTACTCTATTACTTTTAGATAGGATACCTTCAATAAATTTATTCGTCTTTCAAACACAACGGAACTGGCTCAACTAGCGAGAACTTCAATTGAACCACAACATTCACAAAAAAATAGGAATTGAAATGTAAAACTATTCACTAATATTCGCAATGTAGGTACTAAAATTTCTTCTTTGGTTTTACTTGTATTACTATTCGTAATTACTATTCGTCTGGAATTTTAGGATTAAAATAACAGGTGCCTTTAGATTCATATGTATATAGGTAAAAAACGATGCGATAAGTGTTTTTACTTATTACCTATCCGGAAACCTTCGATTTCTAATTACCTAAGGAAATGTGCGTGCGATCGTAGAATTTGGATAGCAGTTTTCGCGGGAAATGGGACCAATAGAAATGCGTATTCGTCTTGTACTTGAGATTTTATTATTGTATCAAAGTAAGTAGGAAAAGTTACTGCTTTGGGTACACGGTTTACATGGATTCTTTTTGCGAACTGTATGAATTTGTACATAAGTATTACGAAACGAATAATGTTTTCAATTCCCAAAGGTATATCCCGAGCCCTGCGCTATAATTATAAATTTTGATTGAATTAAAAATTGCGAATTGGGTAGATTAGTATAACGTTCAGGTCTGAACCAATATTTCTTGATCTGTAATGAATTTTGTACTTACGTAGAGGTACTATTTTCGAACGCTGAAAAATAAATCTTTAAATTATTTAATATTTTAATGTATTCTTATTCAATTCTAAAAAGTGCCTGATGGAAGGAACAAACTCTTCCTAATAATTCGAAAAGATCTTAATTGTTTCTATATTTATTTAAAATTTGTGTGTCTATTTTTACCTAGAAATTACGAGTAAATAAACCCTTAGAAATAATAAGATTTCTTAGCAGTTTCTTTAGTTTATTCACAAATACGAATATTTGAAATTTTCTATGTACCTATAATAAGTAACTGTTTACAGTATATTCTAAAGAAATTTAAGAAAATCTCATGTTTTAGGTAATTAAATGATAGTTAAATGTGTATATAAGATTTATGAAATATTATGAACTAGCCATTTTCTTTTCTTCTGTTCTAAATACCAATAGAAAATGTTAATACCGAAAATCATTACTATTATATGGCTATGGTAACTGATAAAGTTCGTTAATTACATAATTTTGCAATAATTAATGCAAAACTATGTCGAAGAATTTTTTGTCTTATTATAATTAAAGATAGTACAAGTTTCAAGTTTACTTTACCTACACACTTAAAATAAACTAACTTGTATTTTTCTCACAATTAATTATAAATTATAATTTTAAATTATTTAATCTTTTGAAATTATCATAAAATGTATAACAGTATTTTTGTACAAATATTAAAATATGCCTTATTAATACGTTAGAAAAATTTTGTATATTTTTCGCCCAAATATCTTTCATCACAAACAGTTATAATAGTATATTTTAACAAATGACACTATGCAATGTGTTACTAATTGAGCAATAAACTTTTTCAGGATATTTAAAAGTTATTTTGGAGAAAAATTATCGACAGGCAATTCAACTTATGTTGTTAAATTACCTAGTTTAAAAGCAAAAATTCTGACTTCATTTATCACATCAAAAACCGGTGTAATCGGTGCACCGGTGAAACAACTCTTGTGAGAAATTGTCACGGAAAATTAATTTCGAATCGACAAAAAATTCAATGAGCCATTGCAATTTAACAAGCACTTTTTATGTTCACAAAAACTGGAAAACTTTAAACTGTGATATTTGTACTCTGGAAATGAGAAATCAAAAATATTTTTTCAATGCTTCCCGATACTACTTCAGTAAAGCGATTGACAAGTTGATTAAATTATTAGTAAGGTCCAAAATTGAACGGAGTTTCTCAGTTACCCGAGCCAGTCTTCTACTAAGAGTAAATATATCAAAACCCTCTGGAGCCCCTCAGTTGTCAACAAAATTTTGGTATTACATAACACATCTACATAGGCACATAATTTATTCCAATTAATATAAGCATGTTGCCTTGCAAGGTCTCCAGCGGAAGTCTTCCATAGTCGATGCGATTGATTTAAAACCAGAAAATCCGCAATGCAATAAAATCGCGTCATATTTTAATCGAATACCTTTCGCGATATTTCAAGAGAACTAATTTTTCCAATCCCTTTTTTAATCGTTCACCAATCGCACTGCTACAATATACACTCAATCGCCCGTCCAGTTTATGCAAACACTATCGATCAAACATTACGCGACAGTAAATTTTTCTCGACGTTCGACTATTAAAAATAATGGACAATGATATGTGACTCGATAAAACAGTTTCGGCCTCGTCAATATGGTAACGAAGTTTTATGGAACCAATTTGTTGGTGCTAACTGAAGAATGGAAATCTGTTTCGTTCGGCGCCAATATACATAAATATTCGATACCCGAAAGGAAAATACGAGGATGCATTGCTCTGCACTTATAGAATTGCAAGGATAGGAAATGCAAGTTGGCTAATCTATTCTTAGTTCTTAGATACCTGCATTTCCTACAGAAGATTAGGAAATATGAAGTACATCTTTTCTGAGAGGTATTATTAAAAATTTACTGTGTGATATTCGATAGAGAATTTTTTATTGCTATTTCACTCTCCGATCTCTAATTTCCAGTTTTTTTAATTATTGTGTTCTATGAAGGATTAGTTATTTCAGAAAGTTCATTTCTTTACTAATTTCCACTGGCCTATTTCGCTATTCGTATTGTACTGTAGATACTTTCCTAAAGCTATAATTGGCTTCACCATATTAAGGTCTTCCAATTAAGATTTTTACCTACATTAGAAATGTTTGCATTAAATTAGAGTTTCTGTTTCATAATATTAACATAGTCACTGTGGTATTTATTCTGGTTTTAACTTTTTCATTTCTTCGCTTCCATTCTTCTCTTCAACGAGCACAAGGCTGTGTTTTGTCAATTTTATTAGAGTGCTTCCAAATTCGGTCAGAAAAATCTAACTTCGGGCTGTTTAAAAATTCCCGCAAAATTCCCTTTTCAATGCTACTTTGGGTGTTTTCATTAAACTAACGTGGGAAAGATTTCTCTTGAAGCGGGAGAACGTTCCAACAAATTCAGCGGAATTTCCAATTGAATCGCGCGCAATTGATACAAAGACAAATAAAACGCTTTAAATCAACCGCATCCCGAGCTCGTGGGGTTCACTTTGACTTTAGAAAAAAGAAATTTTGCAACGAAATTATGGTGCTATCGACTGCCGGAAGGGCTCTGCTACGCAAAATACGCTAATTAACGACTACAATTATAAAACTCTCACTTTTATCTCAACTTTTCTATTTAAAATTTGCCTAATATCGAATGTTTTATCTATATCAGAAATTAATTAATAATTCAGACGAGGCCCTTCGGCAGGTTCTATTGTACAGTTATTAGAGCATAGATGACTAGCCAAAGGGTTGCTCTTTAATTTTTCAAAGAGCAGCTCAAGGCAGCCGGCCCTATAACGGGTACTGGTGAATCCCCGCGCTGCTAGATCCACAATTACCATAAATAATAATCTGTTCAAATTACAATATGAGGAATTAATTTATTGTTTTAACTTTTACTTTGTACAAATACAAAATAAATCAAAAAAAAAATTCTTCTGTTAGTTTTATAATGGGAAATTTGAAACTGATATATTTGGAAAAAAATTAAATGGTCAAATTTGGATCTAGCTAGCTCATTATCTTGTTAAGTCTTTAGATTATTATATAAATTAATAAACAAATACCAATTAAAATGTAATCAACTGTCCTATATTTGTGTGTGTACGTTTTTTCGTGAATAATTAAATATGTGGATAATAAGTATAAATAAATGAGTATTGGACGTTAATTTTAAACATATTTTATTCATTTACTCCCTCCATTCCCTATATACATATAACAGTTTTTTTCAATGCACTAATAGGGCAACTGATTCGAAGTGACGAAGCGTCGGAACGCCCGCACAATAGGGGACAAACTCGATAAATTATTCACTGTACGTCCAAACAATAATAGCTCTCCATTTGTGAGTTCGTCATCGATTTGGAGGCCGAAAAACCCGCACGATCCCAAAGGAATTTCTGGAAATTGAAGTACCTAGCCAGAACCGGCGACGCCTGAATTATGCACGATTATATTTAGTGTGGTAAATAGGATTCGAATCCCAGTAAATCCAGCGATAAAGTAAGTTCAAGCACAAAGGATAAAGAGGAAATGAAAAAATACGGAGGAAATGTAAATTAATGAATGGTTTTACTATCGCTGTGAATTTACATTTACCTATATATGTAAATAACGATTTAGTATGCAAAATAATGAAGCAAAAAGCAACATATTCGTTGTGTATCTACTAGTTTTCTTCTTTACCCGAATTTTCCACAATATTGAAACATTTTGTCTTAACTGCTGTACAAAATTTCAACAAACAACGATGTATATTTAGAAATAAAAATGCAATAAAGCTGCTACTTCATTTTATTAACCCAACATCCGATTTGATATTGCATTCTGTCCGGAGTATTTCTTGACAATGTGGAACATGAAGTTCTATTACAATATCCCATCGGGCCATGGGTCGGGATGTTAGAGGATATTATCGGACTATTTCGTACTTAATTCGCCCTATTGTTGAGGTTCGTCGAAGAGAAAGGCATTTCGAAGGCGAAAAGAGGAAATTAAATTTCGAAATGATTAAAAATTTTTCAATCTGAAAGGCAAATGATTTCAAAGAGAAATTTAATTATTGTTACAATAGAAATGGCAGGGAATTTTTGTCTGTCTTCAAGAGAAAATCGGTGAAGCTATGATTAAAAAAAATAGTTTTTTTTTATTTGTATGAATGTAATAAATATAATATTTCCATAGCACAAAACTAGCTAGTTACAATCACATAAGGCCATATAAACCTGCATTGGGAGAACCACTATTTTTTTTAATCTGCATTTATCGTTTTCAGGATAATTTTTCATCAATAGATATGCCGCAGTTTTTCCAATGCTGTATCCATCCCGCACTTCACTAAACCGAAACCAATTACAAAGCATCCGATCGATATGACCATGTTAACGCCTCGATTATTTCTCTGCTTATTAGCACTTAAATGCAATTTTTAAAAAAATATGTTTCGAGGGGATGCCGGTTTTAATTACACAAGCGGAATTCGTACGAACATTACACGCGGATTTAATGGAAAGGCGTTTTTTTCCCGAAACATAAATCACCGGACTTGCGATTGTTGCGCTTGGAAAATTCAATGTGGAGTTTCTGCGGTTTTTATTTTGTTTTTAATGGAAATATGAGGTGAAAATCAGTCGACTATTTTCCGATCCATTTATTCGTCACTTAGTGATTAATTATACTTATTAATACTTGCATTATATTCAGAGCTTTTTAAAATCTCTCGTTTTATTAATAACTTTATTTAAATTTCGATTATTGGATAGACTCATTTTTCTGCTCAATATACCATACAGAAATAACTGCACTAATTATTTTTATTGTCTATTGTAAGTAAATATTACAGTAGAAATTTCAATAGCGTGACAATAAAGTGCAACAAGCTTCATTTCTACGCCTTATCGGGGAAAAGCGTTTACTGGTAAAGGTTTTTTCGCTACTTGATAATAAAAATATAACGATAGATTAATTTTATGATTGATGTTTATGTATTTCGTTATATACTTCTCACATACAAGGTGATTTTGGTAAATGTTTCTTGGTGCGATTTCTTTAATAATTCAAGGTATCCCCTGTATTGAGTAATTGAGTGGGATTGTTTAAAGACCTTGTTTATTTTCGTAAAAAACTGGTGATCCAAGAGTATTGAGTTGGGGATATGGCAAAAACTATTGCATGATTTATAGATATTTTAAGTGAAGCTTATTTTGCAAAATACCAGGCTGGAAAATAGGAAGTTCGACAAATTTATAAAATAATATGTTTATATAATTTTACCTATTAGGTACACCAATTGTACGTATCAGTTACAATTAACGTTGGGAAAAATTCAATTGGAAACGCTTCATTGCACATAACGAGTACTTTAACAAAAAAATAACCTGCATAAAAATTCATTGGACTACCTCGTTAACTTGTTAAATTGGGATTTACAACATTAAATAATTAAATGGATAATGAAAGTTATTAACGCTGCAACGTTGCAAAAATAGGGAAAATATCTCTGATTCACGTTGTATCAACTGGTCTGGCAGTAATTATCAACATTAACAATTGTTTATTGCGGAAACTCCGTAAAAATCATTTTTATTCGAACACTTCATTCGTGATTGAAATTACTACAGCGTCTTGCATATGTTCACGAAGCAGTAATCAAAACGTCGATCGCTTCAAATGTAATTTGTGTGTTGTATTGATTTTTCATAAGGTAAGTTGAGCACCAAATATGTAATTTCCAAGACAATCGTCTCGTAACTTTTTTCTAACATTAATTTACAAATATTGTGACATCGAATTTTCTACTTTTATTTTTGTACTTTATTCTGTTTATTACGCTTTTTGTTTGTAACGTATTGATTTTATTTCCATTTGCCCTGTAGTTACTTAACATTTATACAACCATTAATTTAATCACAAATTTTCCCAGTATTTCATTAGATCAAGAGCCGTCATTTACGGCAATTTACGATCGTAATTTGCGTTAAAAATATTTTCTTTGTAGCAAATTAATGTAGATAAATTAAAAATAACGAGATTTCAATGCCCAGGATAACCATCGTACAGAGTGAACGAAATTAATCAAAATAAACGCTAGGAAGCTAATAAAAATTAAGTTTAATGTATAAATTAGCTGCGGAATAGTTTAATTAATTATAAAGTAATTTTTTATAAGGTATTCTTTTAAATTATGTTTATATTAGACGCTATAGAAATATTAATCTTATAATACCTCCCAAATTTTAGAGAACTAAAATTGTAGTACCCTGTATAATTCCGGTATATAATTGTAAATTCATTAGAAAGCAAATGCAAGCCGCAAGGGATTGGCTTTATTGAATATAAAATGTATAATTTTTACTATACTCCTCCAGTTGACGACATTGCGCAAATTGTAATGGTTAAATAAGAGAACGGTGATATACCGAAACGTAGAAAATTCGCATAAAAAAGGAACATACGGTGAGTTTAATTAAATATTAAATTTTAGTCACCGCCGTTTGTAAAATATTTTTATTATGCAGACAAATATGACATTTTATTTATGATTAGTATGCTCGGCATTACTTCCTGCGATGAAAACTTGCGTAAAAATTTTCACCGTTTTATTTTCCATATAATTTAGAAAAAATAATATTGAGAATCATTGAGTTAGTTATGAAACGAAATCAAATATTTTGGCTATTTTCACAAAATATTTTTTCATTTTTACGCATTGCTCGCAAATAAGATTGCTAAATTTAAATAAAATCGGGATTTTAAATGAATATAAAATTGCGGAAATGTCGAAAAAACACCCAAAAATATGCAATAACAACGCCAGAAATAATATATATTGAAGCTATTTTTAATTACAGCCTTAATAGTAAATGTAGTGTAAGTATATCAATATGTCTACTATTAACCGAAATCTACTCTGGGAGTATCTGATGTTCTTCGGCATGGTTTTAATCACAATTTCCGTCGCGGTTTATTCCAAATTTTGCGGGGCAAAAGAAAAAACCAAAGCCGATTATGTATTTGGCACCGTCAAAGTATCAGTGGGTGCGATGATGCTGAGCATTGCTCGAGGAAATCTGGGCGTCAGATCAGTCATAGGTAAGTAAACTTTCAGAAAAATATTTAAACCAACAGCTAACTCAAATCGAAGTGCACTTGAAAAACTAAAAACCTTTCAGGATTTCCATCGGAGCTGTATTACAGAGGAGCCACCATGTGGGAATCCATCTACGGCGTTCTACTCGCCTATCCCATAGTGTGCTTCGTGTTCGTTCCCGTATATTTCAATCTAGGAATCACTTCCGTCTACCAATATTTGGATATGAGATTCAAATCGCGTTTAGTGCGGTGCTTGGCATCGGGAACGTTCATCCTGAGACAGTTCCTACTGCAGGGCGTCACGATTTTCACGCCCTGCGTCGCCATGCGGACGCTTTTCGGTTTGCCCTACTGGGTGTCCATTTGCAGCCTGGCTTTCGTCAGCATATGCTTTAATATTTTAGTAAGTAATCAATTACTTGCTCGACTATAGTTCGTGGAGACTGTATTATTTCCAGGGAGGACTGAACGCCGCTATTTGGGCCGACGTGCTGCAGAGCGTAACTATGATCGCCGTGAGCTTAGCCATAATTATCTACGGCTCCATTGAGATGTCGGGTTTTCAAACTATCATTGACGCTAACAAAGCTAACGGTAGATTGGAATTTTTCAAGTAAATTTCCCAGCAAATTAGTTTCTCTTGTTTCACCGTGCTGTTTCCAGTTTCGATCCCGATCCTACTGTTAGAGTAACCACCATTTCCGCTGTTACCGGACAGTTGTTTATGTCGCTTTCTATACTCGGATGCCAGCAAAGCTTCGTGCAAAGATATTGCAGCATGGAATCACAAAAACAAGTGACCAAGTAGGAATTTTCTTTCACGTTTCTACTAACTGTCTAATCCATTGTTTCTAAATAAATAAGTTTTTTTTAGGACTTTAATGTACAATATTCCTGTGATAATAGTCATGTTCAGCTTATCCTGGCTGGTTGGTATGGTCATCTACGCAGTCTATGAACATTGCGATCCTTTCTCCTACGGCTACATCAGTAACATAGATGAAATCCTGCCGTTTTACGTCGAAGATCGATTCAGCTTCTTACCAGGACTGCTCGGATTGTTTATGGCCACTCTTTTTAATGGAGCACTCAGGTTGGTGACGAATTGCGGCAATTAACTTTTTTTCTCGTACTCGTAATATTAATAACCGCTCTCCAGATTACGCTTTTTTACTGCAATTACAACCGGGACCTACCTTTCGTTTAACGTGAACTATTTCCAGCTGAAATGAAATTCGCTTTTAAGTGGATACTTTTGTAACGAACGAGTATTATACGACAAATTAAGTAATTGTTTAACTTTTTATCGCATTTAAAATAATAATTCACTCGTAAGTATAGCGATTTGTTGTTTTTTGCAGTTTGAACGTTTCAATCGTTAACTCTTTAGCGACTGTTACCTACGAAGATTTTCTGAAATTACTGCCTGGAATGAAAGGATTGAAAGGGTCACATGAATTGTGGACGATCAAAATAATTGGAATTATATACGGGATAATTATAATGGGAATGGCTTTCCTAGTATCTATGCTAGACGGTGTCATAGAAGCTTCCATGCTGGTGACCTCAATTACATCAGGACCTCTCTTGGGTGTATTTTTGTTGGCCATGTTGATTCCGATCGCTAATAGTAAGGTATGAATAATTAGACTGGCAAAGCTATTGCTTAATGTGTTTATTATGAAAACATTGGCTTGCCCTATTGTCGATACATACACCTAATAACATCTACTTTAACGCACGCTTTAAAGTAGATGTCATTAAATAGATGTTAGAGTTCGGGGTGCCATTTTAGGGCGCATCATTCGGAATTATCCTCGGCCATCTGATTACATTCTGGATTGCCACCGGAGCTTTCGTTATCGACAAACCGAATACGTCGTATTTACCGCTGAAAACTGACGACTGCAACGATACGTTTTTCAGTAATTACATACGAAGGGAAGATAATTTTACGTCTGGCGTTACTGCAGCTCGGATTAATTATACGGATATTTACCCAGTTGATAATGCAAATACTAAGTGAGTAATTTTCATAAATTAATTTAGATAAAGGTTTCCGTTCGTGAGGGTAAATTAGAAGGTAGAAAAACATGAAAATTCCGTGTTTTTGCAGCCATTCTCGTTTGAGTACAACATAGATTGGGTAGACTCCAATTAATTACCTACATTCTATTTAATTTTTTTTTTAGAAATCCCTTGTATTTTCTCTACTCTATAAGCTACATGTATTACACATGCATAGGCTGTTTTGTTACGGTGACGATCGGTGCTTTGGTGTCCTATATCACAAGAAATGAAAATGATAAATACGATAATGAACTTATTCACCCTATGATATGGAAATTGATGGGCGTTTTCAAAAGGAAAAAAAGTTATGACATGAACACGTTATCGCAAATGAAAATAAAGGATATTTACGCTCCTACGTGAAAACTACTAGATATATGAATTTTATTAACTTTCTATAATTTTGTACAATTTGTGTTTTTTATTAAATTAATTGATTTATTAAATGAATTGTTTGATTTACCTACTGTTTTACCAGTATATGTTAAAATTAACCGGCAGTTTCGACATTTAAAAAAATTATTCACTACTAAAATTAAACAACAAAAATAAAATTATTATAGTGCGTCAAAATATGTAAATAAAACAAACCAAACAAGACAAGTTAGTGTGAAATTGACGTGTTTAATTTTTAAAATTGACAAATAAATATAATTTCTGCGAAAATTAAAACTTTTTAATTGCAATGTTTTTAGTTACTTAAAAACATATGCAAATAGTTGTATGCAAAAGAGAAAAATAAGAAATACAAACATCCAATGAAACTATGACAAAAATGGTAGTAAAACTGAATCATTTAAAATATCCATCATTATTTCTAAATCACCTAAAGAGTAATATTTAAAATTTATTTCAAATATTTATAATTATAGCTAGTATCTGAAATGGGAATTGCTAAAAAGCTAGAAATAAGTACTGTAAATACATATTTTAGATAAACATACATAGTTATTGAAATGATCACACGTAATCATATTTCTCTAAGGATTTTAAAGTGCCTCTAAAATTTATAAATTACATTATTTCATTCACAATAATTTGTTAACAGAATTTCCACATTGTCGCATTATATTTAATTTAATACTCACTATTTACTATTTGACCTTATGATCTTTGTTTCAGCAATGATAGTTATGAATATATTTTATGTACATAAAAAATAACACACAATGTAATTCGAATTTACTTCCTGTTATGAAAAATACATTTAAAATAAGTAGTGATATCATTTGGTTATAAAAGTAGTTATTAAAATTTGTTGAAAATAATACTATTAAAAACGAATTTAATTACAATTTACACCTAGTAAAGGCTATAGTTAGTACAGTAATTCACATGAAATTTTGTGTTTTTTCGATTATTCGGATTCGATTAGGCGGAAATATTATACCTATATAATAATTATATTTGTATCCAAATAATCTAAATATTAGGTATTATTGCTTACACATGTAAAACCCAAAAGTAATTACATATTTGCCAGCAAAAGGATTTTTTAAAAATGCTATTATCTATAAAATGCGTTGTACGTGATGTAATACATTTACAAAATCAAACTAATTAGAGAAGAAATTCTTGTTACAACTGCCATTGGATTAAATATGATATAATTATAACAGAATATTTTGAATGGCGCTTTGTCGTAACCAAATAAAACGAGACTCCTCGATAATTCATGGAATTACTCGTTTCCAATTATTTTCTTTGTTAAATTAAGCTTTAGGAAAATTAATAGGGACCATTCGATACTAATAACTAACAAATTACTGACTGATCAATAGGAATGTTTTATAATTAGAACATCTAATTAAACGTTTCACAGACATAAAAGCTAAAATCATTCATTAGCAAAAGGCTTTATGAGATTATCGACATTCGATCCCTATGTAAAATCCTTTAATCCCCACATCGTTTAGAATTACCTTATTACTGTTTGATGCCAAAGTAGTAACTATACATGTATACGCACTAATGCAGGGGTTAATATTTAATAATGTTCATCTATCTCATTACACATATTTGCAATTATTCATTGATTAATTGGATGAATTACACGAGCTACAAGCGAGATACCCTCCGCCCCCTCGAACACCCGCCACTGCAACAAGCACGGGAAGCGTCCAAAAATATTCCACGGCATTGGCGGAGCCGGCGAGGAACCCTTGTAAAGTCGTTTTCCAAAATTCGAACGGTCATGGTACCGTGGTGGTACGACAAAAACGCAAATACGTTTTTATTCTTCCCTTTAAAAGAATCCATCGGTCGTGGTGGGGACCAGTTGTGTTGGTACGGTCATCCGACCATGTGGTAGATGGTCGATGGTCTCTCTCGGCTAGTTTGATTTATCTACGTGCGTGAAGAAAGTACTACCTCATATTTTAATTTACCTACTGCACGAATATAACGAAACGATTCGAGGGATTTTATGTGCGAAGTACCCTTGGGAATTATTTAAGATTTTACTACATAAGGTAATTTTATTTATTTTTTTTACTATCTACACAAAATATGTGTTTATTAATAATAGATATTTATAAAATACACCGACTTGTGTTTATTATTGATTAGTTGCGTGAGGACGACAACAAAAATTAATGACAATGGGTTGTGATAATATTAACAAATAGTTGGGAAACTGAAAATGAGGAACACGAAATCCTTTTGTAATAGGTATTGTTGTGTGAAGAATTATAGTTGCTCTCCATTATCCACGATAATCTCCCATAATATCCAATATACAATAACTACAGTCCAGTCCACCCGTAGAGGTCATGTTAACACATTGTTGTAGGTTGCAATAAAATTGTTCGCTACGTTGTAATTTTTAAAATAGTTTTTATTTACCTAAAATGTGCAAATAATTGGAAAGAATACCTTTAAATATTTACCCAAGTTTGAGCACACACAATAGAAATCAAACTTTGTGTACTTGGGTTCACAGGTATAACATATTTGTTTAGTATAATTATCCCTTCAATTATTCAGCATTATAACAGGTACAAACTTGTTTACATTGCAAAAGTCCACCTTCATAAATCATCAGTCAGGACCGTGGACCAAAGGACTACTTACGTACATGTTATGCTTCTGTTTAGTGGGTGTTTATGATTGTTTATATTTCCACATTGATACATAGATTAGATTTATCCGATTTTTTTATAGAGCTCTTTATATATTTTTATGTATTCCTTTATGTTGATTTTACCCCTTATCTGATGTTTTGTCAGATACCTAATAGCTTGTATTGTGGTTTAGTGGGGTGTGGCGTCGGTCCTAAAAAAATATCTACTCCTTTTAGTATACGAAAAAACACTTTAATAAAACACATTTTCATATTTTTGTTACCTACATAAATTATGCTTTAACAAATTTTTTGTTGAAGCATGTTTTCGTAAATTTTCCTACAGGCAAGAATTTTTTTCTATAAAATAAACACTCCAGACCCTGAAAATAAAAATATACTACACAGTTTGAAATCTAACAGTTTTTATTAAATTGTTAATCTTGTTTCGATTAATCATAAAAAATAATAAGTAAATAGGTAAACGGTAAAATTAACTTTGAATTAGCTATGCAAGATTATAAGATTAAATGGACAACAACACCTATGAATGAGAAACCGTTCAATTTATGTTTATTAATTTTGCATAAAAAATGTATTAAAAGGATGTTTTGCGAAATGTTTTCGGTCAGTATAGAAACGACTTGTGACGGATGTGGACTTTCCAGTATTCCTCTAATCAATAAAAAAATATATAAAAAATTTGTTGATAAATTTTATTTAAATTAATTAATCAGTCGCTCATTAATTAATATCATCATTTAGCACCAAAACACGAATGTAGTAGTGTGGTTTAGCGTATAGCGGTTTTTTACTCTATAATTTTATGGTAATTAAATTTATGTTAATACAAAAGTAAATAAGAATGGGAAAAGAATTTTGGGAATTGCTGAATATATGCTAATATTAAGTGCTCCATCATTCTGCGAATTTTAAAATGAGTTTATCTTAAATATGTTTTTTCTTACAAGTCTCGAATTACTTTATTTGATTACGCAAAACCAGTTATCGATTATATTTTCAGAAATTTTCTTTCAATATACTATTAGCATTATGACTCGTCAATTAAGTTCGTAATAGCGTGTTTATAAGAGTAGGTATTCATAAAAAATCGGTATGAATTATCTGAAACGACTGCGTAATTTTTATGTAAAATTGTCTAATGGAATATTATCTTAATTATAATAAATACAAGTAATTGTGCTGCCAAAACAAAACCTAAGTACCCATTTGTACGTTTTAAACAAACATCTCTTATTTGAACAATTATTCTATTCAAAAGATAGACTAAACGACTACTAAAGGTAGATTAAACACTTCGTAAATTTCAAAATATATTAAATAAATCGATTTGGTGAGTACATAATTAATCCCAATTGAAAATAATTTTCTTAGTTGCATAGAGTAACTTATTATACCAATGCAGAAGCGACTGTTAAATTATCAGTACACCTTAGAACAGGAATTAACAAATTGTGAAAGTAACAAAAAAGATAAAATCCTTCGTCCTACATTTTCCTACTATTTCACTAAAATTACTTTTATTTTCTACTCGTAAAGTAATGAATCTTAATAACTCATTAAATACGTATGTACAGTATGTAAATTCATACAAAATAAGTAACATTTGAAGGTTAGAATGGGAAATAAATAATACCGGGATAGAAAGAACCAGTCGGTTATTTTTCTTCTATATGGTAATTAACAAGTCTTATTTAACGATCGTTTTAGCAAAAAAAGATTTGTAAAAACAAAGCACGTCGATTCTGGTTTTACCAAAATTTATATTAATTATATTCAAAGCAGCCACAGAAATGATTCACCTAAAGCGATATAATATTCCAGTCTACTACAACCACATTTCAAATATTTGAACAATTTTATAGACAGGCGCTTCTTTAAACTCCTTTACCGAGAATTATTTTATTTTGATAATGACGTAAAGAATAGACAATTATTTATTTCACATTACATAACGAAATTTTTAATTAATTCTATTGAAAAAATTCATTTATAGTCAAACCGCAAATTGGAGAATTTGTAATTAGATGAACCATAAAGTAGACATTAATCTATTTGTATTATTTCATAGAAATTAATTACTAAATATAACCAATATTGATTTATGTAATGAAATATACAGCTCCGTGTTTTTAACACTCGAATACACTTCATATGTAAAAAGTAACCGATAACAATAATACATTTATTAAATTGAATAAGACCTGTCAGTTATCGACTTTTTTCTTCATTTTTGTATTTTTTTATATTCCTCTTTCCCAATATAAATAATGGCTGGCAAATATGAATCATTCTTCGATATACCAGATGCGGAGATATGTGTTAAGCTATAACGTGTCTGATTGATTAAAATGTCAAGGAAAGAAAAAGCTCGTTTCGAGGAATTTCCATTAATAAATTGAAGTGCGCTCATTAATAATTATTTAATGTAAACATGTTAATTGTGAAGAATTTTTTATTCGGCTAGAGGAAGTAGCTAAATTGAATAACGGAAGAGTTTTTTATCGAATCAATTTCATTAAGAAAATTTGCTTCTTAACAAAATACGTAACGAAGTTTCCTAATATGTGTACAATGGGATTTCCTTAATCGCACACTTGTGTTTTAATTGCTGGTTCTATTGTTAAATAAATGAAAATGTTACGGGTGGTTTTCGGTTATCCGAATTGCGGGATTTTGTAATCAGTTAACTAACCCAATAATTAGAGGAACAGTCGATAATGCTCGGAACACGATTAATCCATTTCCGAATAACGTTCAACTATTTTATAATCGCGTGGAATTGCCTTATAATTAATTGAACTCCGCAGTTACAGTTTTCCCAACATTCTAATTTTTTGCGAGAGAATATGAACATTTTTAGAGGCCCCCGCTTTAAATTAAATTGAGATAGCTATCAAACTATTTTCATAGCGCATCAGTATTATTTAAATCGTCTGTTCAACAAAGGTGTTTATTAACTATAATTTAATAAATAATTCACGTGCAATTAAACGACTTCAATTACCGCAAATTACTCGAGAGTAATAATGAAAATATTGTGAAACCACATTTTCACGTAAGATAATAGAAGATAATTGAATCGTCGTTGCGTGTATTTATGTAAAATATTTAAACAAGCAGAATTATTTCATAATATTTTTTCTTCGCGTTGTTTTGGATCAAAAATTCACGAATTCCAGAAATGTAGTTGTTGTAAATTTAAAACAAAGGTAACGTACAACAAAGGCTCATTTCGATCACTCGTTATTAATAAGAAAAACCCGTTTTCCTTCGCTTTGTCTTTAATTTGCGCAGCCACAAATCGCATAAAGGAAATTATAGAAACGCGTCAGCTACTAGCCATAGATCAGCGGATTTTTGAGGTTAAGATCAAGATTACTCTAATGGACCGAAGGAGATTATTCTTGTACTTACGTTGACGACGTCAACGGTGAAAACAGCTGTTGCATGCATAATTCGCTGAGAAGGCGCCGTTTAACTACAGCTCGTACGGAAACTCTTTTACCTAATTGACTGGTGTCTACAACGCAAACTGGAATTTTAACTTTTCTACAAAAACGGAGAATGTGACTCGAAGTTTCTAAGCTAACGATAATTTTCCTATTTCCTATTAAAATTAGTTCAAAACAATAATTAGTATATACTCAGCCTAGCTCTTCTGGTTGTAGATATTTAAAAATTACATAAGCTACAGCAAACCGATAAGAAAGCGAAAAAAAAAGCGTAGAAATTTCTCGAGCATTCACCGAATTTTTACAATTCCAAAAATAAACCGATAAGTACACGTTCCTCTCGGCCATTATCTAAAAATAAACGTTCACTGTTCAGAAACGTCGGCCTGAGGATGATAATGAGCAACAAGCAGCCGAGAATAGCGTTAAAAATTTCACCTTGTTTCATCATAAGCCAAGGTCGTCCGCCAAAGCCCTAAGGTGAAAATTTACCTACATTTATTACACGTTCGAGCCAGATGAGAACGAGTTAAACTTTGGACTGCCCGTTGTATTTTTTAACCGCTGAACGTGCAGAAAATCAGTCGGAATGACATCTCGGTCGATAAGCGCAAATTCGCATTAACTGGTCTCATTTGGCATTCGCATAAACTGTTCAAACACTAAATGAAATATTTCACAATTTTGCGATTTATAGTATTTGCATCCTTCATCATTCCTCGCTAATGATTTAATTCCTAACATAAATTGTTTTAAAATAGTTAAATTCTAGACAAATAATATTTTTATTTGAAGAAAGACGCAATTGAAATGTTTACGTTTTGATTCTAAACGTTGATTTTTACCTTCACTAGGCAAGTTGGGATAATAAAAAAACTAATAAGTAATGAAAAAAAACTTATATTTCTGGATAAATTTTGGCTTGTTCTTCAAG